CCCTCGCTTCATCTGCCGCAGCTCCTGGGTATACCATGGGGCAAGCTTAGAATGGGGGTGCAGAGGACATTGGGGAGCGATCTCTCTGATGGCTGCCAAGAGTTAGCTATGCCAGTCCTTGACGAGCTCATCTAATGAGCCGCCAGGGGGCATCGGATCCTGCAGGGCCATCTGGAGCTGCATGGGGTCTATTTGGCTTCATGGGTGAGCTAAAATAGGCTCACCACCCAAACAGGGTCAGTGTGGAACATTCACGTGGGCCTTCAGGGCAAAGTGGTCCGACCATGGAACTGCCGTAGCCATAATGCGGTCCACCATAACTCCCACCGCAAAGATCAAATCGAGTGTGTGCCCCACACGATGAGTAGAAGTTGTTACATATTGGGAGTCCTAGAGCCATCATGGACGACACCAGGTCCATCGCCTGTGTGGAGGCCACGTCATCAGCATGGACATTCCCTGCTTAATCTGCGCCACTTTTTAAATATTTTCTTTAAATATCAGACCTCACGGGGGATATGGGAGCTCAGCATACTCACGATTGCTACAGCACAGGCATTGTCACCAGATTTTTGATGCAATAATTCAGGACAAGAGGTGTCAGTTATCAAAGACTGTTAAATAAAATATTTCAAGAGTGTTAATGTTTTAAACATGTCTGTATTGTAAGTAAAAATAATATATTTAATTGTGTTTGTGTCCTTCATAATGTGTATATCTCCACTACCTGGTATTACATTTTATGACCCTCATGGCCTGGCCTGACCCAACAAAGTCCCATTTATGTCAGATCTGGCCTTCATGGCAAATGAGTTCGACACCCTTGGCTTAAGAGGGAACCCTGGCCTCATCAGAATTCAGAGGCTAAGCAGGGTCGGTACTTGGAATGGAGAGCGCCAAAGAAGACTTTGCAGAGGAAGCCAGTGGCAAAGCACCTCTGCAATCTCACTTGCCTGGAGAACCCTGTGAGGTCGTCATAAGCCAGCTGCAACTTGGTGGCACTTTACACACAAAGGTACAAGAAAAAAAAACACCTGTGTGTGGATTGGGAAGGCCATATGCAAATATAAAGTTACATTTCCCTTAAAATGCAGGGAAGCAAGGGCTCAGTCATACAACTGTTTAGAGACATCAAACCACCTCTGGGTATTCTCAAGGGAAATGTGGTTATTTATGCACACTTCGCAGATAACATTAGAGGAATTGTAATTCAGTGAAACAGCACATGCTTTGCATGCAGAGATCCCAGGTTCAGTCCACAGCATCTCGAGTGAAGGGCTTCAGGGACTAGGACTGAGAAATGCCTGACAGTACTGCCGCCATTCACAGTAGAGAAACTTGGGCTACATAGCCCAGGTGGATGGTGGATGGGTGGGGAAATGAGAAAACCCACAATAACTTGTGGGGGTCATTTTCCCCATATCCTCTCCACAAACTGTTTTTTCTTTCCTCCTGGCAGCCCACATAACCTCTCTCCCCTTTTCCTGCTTTCTTCTTTCCACCTACCAGCCAATCTACCTTTACCTTTACCTTTCCTTCCTTCACTCCGCAGCAGCATGTTTCTAAAAAAAAACTATGGCCCAGTTGCACGGTGCTGGCTGCTGCAAGGAATTGCAGGGGGCACCTCACTTTCTCCTGTACCCCCATCACCACACTATTTCCTCTCTCGCTCCTCCTGGCAACCTTTCCCTTCTTCCATCTCTCCTTCCCATCCATCCTCTAACCTATCTTTTCTCTGCCCCCCATCTTCATTCATATTTATTTACTTCACACCTTTTTTTCACAATGGAGGACTGAAAGCAGCTTACTTTATTCTCCATCCATTTCATCCTCACAACAACCCTGTGAGGTAGGTGAGGCTGAGTGTGTGTGACTGGTTCAAGGTCACCTAGTGAACTTCCACAACAGAGTGGGAATGTGAACCAGGTCTTCCAGTTCCTACTCTGAAATTGTAACCACTGTACCACACAGGCTTTCGTGGGGTAGCTGTTGTTGAAGAGAAGTTAACAGCCAGGCTTAGGTGAGACATGGAAGTCACATGGTGTCATGGTGTCCAGTGGAGAAATCGAGGGGGGGCAGTTTTTAATGCTGTCTGCCTCCCATCCTTTAGTTCTAGTCATTTTAAATGATTGATGGTGTATCATTGTACTTCCTCCCCAATCCTTGGCCAGGGTTGCTTTTTCATCCGAGCTTGAATTGTTTAAAAGTACAGGATCACACTGTTTTGTAGTTCACATAACATTTGCCTCAGCTGCTGTTCAAAATGCCCAGGGACCAATTTCCTCCAATGGTTTCCCATTCAAGAATCATAGCTGATGCTTTATACCCATATGAAATGGTAACCTGTAAACCAATGCCACCTGCTGGACAGTAGAGGCTTTGCAATTTTTTAAAAAATAGACGTCTGTAGTGTGCATGTATTAAATTTGCTAAACATGTAATGAACAGACTGGCATAAAAGACGCTATATATTCAACCATCACATCAGTATATTATTGACCTCAAAGTGTAACTGTAAATAACATTATTGTGACAGTAAATACAATTAATAAACATTCATGAAGTAATTGTGATTATTAAGATACATGAAGTTATTTTGATCATTATAAAGTGATTGCTGACTAGAACCTCCAGATTGAGTTCCATTTTGTCTTTTCATCTGAACAATATAAAACAATTTGCACACATCAACATTAATATGTTTTTCAAAGTTTTTTTCAAATTTTTTACAAAATATTTTACAGAAAAAAGATCCATGGTTAAATACCTTCAATAAGGGTTTCAAACAGTCTTGTTGTTTTCCTAGCCGCGATTTTTGCGTGTCATACAAACATCTTCAAGTAGTGTTAATCAGTTATCTACAGGAATACACAAACTTTTATACACCTATACATAACACTTAATTATTTCTAATTTCTTTACGCAGTCTTCACTAATATTCACTCATCTTCAATATGCACGTTACGTCGGGTGTTCTAAACATCAACTGAAAGCCGCTTTTTTTCATTAATCCAAGGAGTGGCTAATATACATTCAAAGTTCTAATCCACACTCAGGACACTCCATCCTTACTAATACTTACACACACTTCTGGAAAAGGGAGAGGGGGGGGGAATTTGCAAACACACACTATACTGCTTATAATTCCCTATATTAACATATATTATTTTGTTATCTCTACATCGTATCTATTTAGTCTTGGCCATAAAAACTTAAATCCTCATGTATAACAAAAAGGAGGTTTCTTTACAGTGGAGATATTTAATCGGAAACACCTGGGCTTGAGTTCCTTAAAATCCTTTAAGGCAATTACAGACCAATTTCGTTTTGCTTAGAAATTTTAAAGGTACTCTGTTATACAGCAAGCACTATTTCAAAGAGCATTATCAGGGCTCATGTTCCAAAAAATCCACACAGAAATTTAGAGCATTTATCACAAATTTATAAAAAACAAGATAGATCTAACACAGCATTTAAACCTCCAGGTTGTACTGTTTTTAATCTATGGATCCAAAATGCCTCCCTTCTGAGAAGTATTTTGCGGAGATCTACTTTACATTATTGTATGGGACACACTATTTCCAAAACAACCACTTTAAAATCATCCGCACTGTGACCTGCGTCCTTAAAATGTTGGACGGCGGGATCAATAATATACTGACTTGATGGTTGAATATATCTAGCATCTTTTATGCCAGTCTGTTTATTACATCTTTAGCCAGCTTTGGACTGGATTCTCCACTTTAGTCTGGATTTTTTTATTACATTTGCAGCATCACTGTTGTATGAAACATATCATAGTTTGAGTCATATTTCCTTGTGTGGTGGCAGTAGCAGAGAGTTTTTTATTCCCTTTATGTTCCAGCTGTTTCTAGAAATCCCATCTATTTGGTGTAGTGTATTATTGAGAGCGAAGGCAGTATTCCCCGTGATGGAAGTTGTGCATAAGTTTCCCAGGATCATCTGGACTGTGCCTGTTCCCCAGGTTTTAATAAAGGCAAAATCCTTCCACTTGTGCAGTTTCAGCTGACTTTGTGGGGAAATGGTCATAAGTATCATTCAGTAAGCCAATCTACAGCTGTGTGTTTGACTGGGCTGCCTCCCCTATAACCAACAACACAGAGCCAGTACAGCCACTGAGGCATGTTCCTTACTTGGCAGGTCATCACAGGGAACTGCGTCACGTAGTCAGGTTTGCTACATGGCAGCTGAACATTAATGATGTCATACCTAGTTTCAGTGATGAGCAACACATTACAGCCACACACGGTAATTTATGGCAGGTGTGGCAATGATGAGCAAGAAACCAAACCCCTCCCTTGGTTGGCTTCACTTTATACTTTTTTTTAAAAAAAGTTTGTCAACTTGTGAAAAGATACTGAGTGCTGCATGTAAATCGCAAATAATGCATGTGCCTAGCAGCAAACAGTTAAAAATTAAAGAAGGGCTAAGATTTGGCCCACTCCAAACATTAGAGAGAAAAGGGTGGCCTTGGGAGCCACAATTGTGAGAATGATCAGTTGAACCCTGCATTACGAACAGTAGGTTGGATCTTAACCAGCACAAATGGAGTTGCATCAGAATAAGGCAGCTTCTCTGTCTCCCCCTTCTCAGTGCAGTGCAGCCTTCTGTGCCCCTCCTGAAACTGAACTCCGACACATCAGTCAGTGGCCCTAAAGAAACACTGGTGGTGGGGGGGGGGAATGACACAAACAGAGTCTGTAGGAGAACAGGGAACTGGGGGGGGGATCTCCCCTTCCTCCTCCACTGATGGAAAAGTTGTTCCAGTGGAGGAGCTGCCATTGCTCTGATGGGACAGCACCTTTGGCTCCCAGCCGTTATTTGAATGCACAGCTTTTGTAGGTATGACTGCAGGTGCTGGAGTTTGCCTAAAGGAATGGATCGTTTCACTACGGAAACACTTTCCTGACTGCAGTGGTTTTGTTGCTGCTGAGAAGAAATCCTGAAGTCCTTTCTCTCTCTTTCCCCCCCTTCCTCAGGATCTTTTTCCAAAGGCATTGCTGAAGGAGAAGTAGACCCTTCCTTTGGGCCTCTGGAAGCAATACGGCTGACTATCCAGACGGACTCTCCTGTATGGATCATCTTGAGTGAAGTAATACTCTTTTCTGGAGGAAGTATTTCTTAGGAATGTTGATAGCAGCAGGTCCCACACAAGATTCCTGCAGGGGAAGCTCAACACCCAAAGGAACCCTTGAGCCTGAATCTTTTCTCTACCTAGCAGTGCTGTTACCACCATGTCGGACACACTGTATGCAGTGTGCCTGGACTGTCCCCAGGAGTGCATTTCATTCAGCCAGCGGTAGATACAGCCACAGCTTCCTAGCAACCATATTCACAGAGGCACATATTCTCAGCTGATCATGGGAATGACCTGGGATGCCTGTTATGCTCTCCATATTAATGGAACCCCAGGGGCCAACTGGCACATACCTATCAGAGAACTTGAAAATGCTGACCCAGTCCTTAGGAGGAAAAGTGTTAGCCTGCTGAATAATGAAAATGGTACAATTGCAGATGGCAGTAAATGTTGCATAAATTCCTGTACTGCCAGGAATGCACAAGTATCCTTGGCCACAGCAGTGCCTTATGCTTTACTAAAGTATACCACTGGTGGTTTGTAATATATTATAATTGTCCCTAAAGGCCCTTCCTGAGTCCACAGGTATAGAATGTCTTCATTTACCTCAGTAGGCTGTAAGGGGTGATCAGATGAATGGAAGTGATAATTTGTTAAGCAAAGATTTTGTAGAACAGAACTTGGTAGCAAGGCTCTCTAGGCAGCAGTTGCCTTTAAGCAGTTGGGGAGGGGCTTTGTCAAAATTGTTTTCCTATCACACAGTAAAGCTTCTGCCTATGTTGTTTACAGGGAACATTTTTCCAGCGTCAGACTTCATTTCCAAGAAAAAACTAGGACTTAGTTCTTGTTTGCATCGTCAATAAGAGGATGTTTGGTATTATCGAAGTGACTTATTACTAAGCCCTGATGGCTTTTTCTCCTTTTTAAATTGTCTTTTTCTCAGATATTCCTGAAGAAAGCTGACTGAAGTCTAAGAGACAGGAGATGAACACTAAGTGGCCGTTAGCTCTTCCCGCCTTCTTCCTCTCTTCTATGAAACTGCAGACACTGCAGAACAAAGGCAGCCTGCCCGTAAAGCAAAGGTGCGTGCTCAAGGCTACAGCTGCTCCAAGAACAGGAAGAAAAATGTGGTGAAACTTGGCAGGACCTTGTGTTTCCTGACCACAGACTAGGAGAAGAGACGCGTTTTTCACACGCGGGTGCTGTACTGCATTACATGAAGACTCACCAATGCTGGCATATCTTGTCCCCAGCTGCCTCTGCAGCTGAAGAAAGACACATGGAGGTGAAACTTCCATGTCAAAGATTTTTGGGTTTTTTGTTCCCTCAAGCAAGGACCACATTGTCCCCACTACTCTTCCTTCCTCTGGGTGTTGAACTCCTGAATGTATCACAAAGGTGTACATTTAGAAATACGGGTTTACAGAGTGCGAAGGCTAAACTGAGAAGGCCAACTTGACTGTGTCAGGCTCTTAAGCTGCAGAGCAGCTCAGAGATGTACGTGGGAAGGGGAGGAGCAGATCTCCACCCCTTTGTTTAATAAAAGCCGTTACTCCGGGCCATGCCTGAGGATTAAATATGAAGGGTAATGGGGTCTGAAAGAAGGTGAAGTGCAGAGGCGACAGACAGTATGGCAGGGAAATAATGAAACCACACTGTGCCTGCCAGGGTTGTACATGGCCCCTTCATACACTACAGTTTATGTTGGAAGTCTCCAGTGTCTTCATGCCTTGAGAATGAGTGCAAAAGTCCACCCTTTAAAATCCATATTTCCGTTGTTTACTGGTTGGTGTGAATTTTGAGGAAAAACATGTAGGTCAGGTCTCAAATGGTAGGGATTAGAGTGTAATTTAAGATCAACGACAACAACAAAAACCCCAATGTCACTAGCTATACACTGGAATGCATTATACTACTTTAATGTGCTGTATTTTTTATTATTGGATACATTTGATTTTTTCAAGTATATCTATATAAAATATATATTAAAATGTGCACTGTAAAATTTTAATTCCATTTAAAGTAGCTTTTTAAACACTTGTTCTATTAAGTGGGGAAATTAAAACACAACATTTTACAGGCATATTTGCTAAAGCTTGTAAATGTGAATTGTTGTCCACTTGAATGCATGGAGAAGTCAGCTATTAAAACCAAACCCACAGATTCTTCCTCTATGTGATACAGCCTGTCTAGTACACTGCTGATCTGGATGGTGGTTCTCTCTTGCCATAACTGAGAATTTAAGCATATGTGGTTCCTGAAGGCAGATAATTAGCTTCCATCATTCCCCATTCAATCTGGAAAAAGAAATACCTGGCAAAAAGTAAAGATACGAAAGTAAAGTGGAGCTCCATGTTAGATTAGGTTTGGCAGCTGCACAGATGTGGTCAGAACAACTTCCTTACTGACTAAACCTTGGGTCGTGCTTGTCTCTGAATTGTAGTAAATGTCCATGCCTCACTTTCATTTTTTTATATAGGACAATAGAAACCACCATGATACCATCACATACTTGAGAGACTATTTTGCCATACATGATTAAATTGCTAACTGTGTAGGTAACTATAAAACTCAGAATTCATAGTTAAATACCCCCCCTGACACACGAACATAGGGGTGTGGAATAACCTATTGCCCAAGCTGGTCTGTCTCTGTTTTAGACTGGGGGATTTAGCAAGGAGACCAAACTGACCAAAATGGGTGTAACAGTCGAGATCTACACCTGTGTATACCAAGGTCGGTTTCAAAGAGGAAAACTCGAAATGATTGGGACTAAGTTTGAAGGAAGATTGTTTAATTGAAGAAAATACTGGTTAAATGTAAATCATACACACCAAAGCAATCACATAACACATGCAAACATGGCTACAGAGAAAGCGCTTAGAGACATATAGGGAGTTACAGGGTGATAATTACCATCCAGATGTGCAGAAGTCTGCCGAAGAGAGATTGTGAATGAACAGCATATCACAAACAAAAGGGTACCCAAATTGTGAGTTGGGGGTTGCTACTCTGTTAGGCGCTCTAGAGTGACACACGGAGCTGTGGCCGGGCAGCTGTATTCAGAGGTTTCCCAAACTCTGACCAAAAAGGTGTGATGGCACCCTAGTGGGTATATCCTGGAGTGTGCTTGTATGGCTGATACTATCTTATACTTCAAAGTTAGATATATTTTTGGTAACCTAGAGAACAGCCCAGGAAGAGGACAATAATTCTGTTTCCTAGAGAACTATATACACTTTAAAGGAAGTTTGTCCCAGGAAAGGGATCATAAAGGACAGAGTAGATGTTTTTACAGAGAGAGGTATGCATCAAAGAGACAGAGGAGCTTTTGGAGGAAGAAGCTTTCCATATTGGAACGTGCTGGAAGGCCGAGAACTCTGATACTTACTGGGGGGGCGGGGGCGGGTAGATTGTATGTAGAAGAGACAGATGGCTTCCACAGCCTCTAGGGTCCATATTTTTGGCAAGCTTCCATGATCATATGTGCATCCCTTTCAGGACTACCCGTAGACTCAGGAACACTGCTTTGGGGGCCTTCGGGTACTTTAGAGGTGAGGGTGCCTGTAAATTCCAGTAGAATAGGCTTCCCTCTGATGCAAGGTATACTGGTGGGGTCACAAACCTAAGCTCCCTACCACCATCCGAGATCCAAACCGGGTGTTTCATCCAGGCTTCGTTTTCTCCCATCTAACCAGAACTCTAGCTCTACTTAACCCATGTGCCCTGCATTTGTCCATCATGGGTAACAAGTTAGTACTCAACTATAATTCTGAGCATAAAAAGGGGAAAGTGAAGAATACACATGAACCTGGAAATAAGCTAGGCTCATATACATTTCATGTGTGACATCTGAACACAGTCAAATATAGGAAATCCCTAGTTAATTCAGACATCTTTAAGGAATCCAACTTCTGGTGATTTTTGAAGATAAAAAGACTTCAGAAATTCAACACTTCCCCTTGCTGTAGGGTAATCACATGCATATCTAATGTAGGCCTATAAGAACATAAGAAGAGCCCTGCTGGATCACACCAGTGGTCCATCTAGTCCAGCATCTCGTCTCACACAGTGGCCAACCAGTTCCTCTGGATGGCCAACAACAGGGCGTAGCCTCCTGGCTCTGGGATTCAGAGGATTAGTGCCTCTGAATGTGGAGGTTCCCTTCAGTCACCATGGCTAGTAGCTATTGCTAGACTTATACTCCATTAATATATCTAATCCCCTTTTAAAGCTGGTTTTCCCTGTGACCTACATCCTCTGGCAGCAAATGCTACATTTTAATCACTCTGTAAAGCAGTATTTCCTTATAAAGCCTATGACTTACTCATAAAAAGAACAATAACTTGGAAGTTTTTGCCACAAGAGCTAACTTACTGATGTTTTTGAGGTAAAGGTCTAATATTAACATAGGTTAAAATACCATCATAATTACTTTTGTTAAAATGTCTCTTTAAAAACATTCAGAGAAGACATAAGTGAAAATTTAAAAACCGCTGTGCAACATTTAGGGCAGTTTGCAGGAAGAAGGGCATTTCCAGCTGATTTAGAAGCTTTCTTCAAGGACTCAAAAATGTAAGTGGCATAAAGTGGACGAAGAGCCCCACGACAGATAAGCCAAAAAGAACACAAAGGACTCCGCTGCTGAAGTACATGGGACCCAGCCTATGCAAAAGGAAAGAGCATTTGTCAGTTCAGCGGATTCACTGTGGTACTAATTTTAAGCTGCTCTTTATTGGTGATTATCAGACTACCATGATAAATTAGGGCTCTCAGATATTCTCAATCACAAATCAGTTGTCATAGGATATCTGATGTTATGTGGCAATTAGTTTAACACATGGGAAGATGCAAAGCCCCCAGCAATCACAGTCTAAACCCAGTTCACAAAATATGTTGAAGGAATGTCATGATATGCCAGCAGCTCCTCTGCAGTCTTCAGAAGTCTCTTAATCAGAGGGTGGAGTCTTTTGTTGTAACAAAGTTTTTGTTGTTAACAAGGGGAGAGGGTTGGACCGGTTGCTCCATCATTCTTGATCCAGTTCTGTCTTTCACAGAGCAGAACTAACATCAGATCTTGCTTTAGTGAACACTGATGCATTTATAGAAAGTAACGAACTCGCAAGATGAGTTTTGGCTAACACACACACAAATAAGGATCATAATAAGCCATATTTTCTCTAATGGTATCTTTTCTGACCTGGATAGCCCAGATGTCGGAATCTAAACAGGGTCGGTCCTGGCTATTATTTGGATGGATGCTTCCCAAAATTCGAGAAGACCTCCGAGGAATCTCAGGCAATGACGATGGCAAACCACCTCTGAATGTCTCTTGCCTTAAAAACCACATAAGGTTGTCAAAAGTCAACTGTGACTTGACAGCACATTCCGCAACCACAAATGTTCTCTTTGGTGGGGGGAAAGTCTTAGTATCTCTTCGTATGAGAACTGGGGCCAGAAACTTGAACTCCACATTACTTTCCTCTCCTATTACACAAGAGTTACAAGGAATTAAAAATGAAGTCCCTCTAAAGAGCCTGCTTTTAATTGACACTTTCTAAGTAAACTATTACTAATTGTCAGAACATCAGATAAATACACCATACCACTTCCTGGGTTGTTGTTGTTTTTTTAAAATCAGCCAGCTCTCCCCCTCCCTTTTCAGCAATTTACAAAAGATTAAACCAAACCCCTAAAATCATGAGAGTAATATAGCAGACTTTAAACAGCTTTGAACATTTTGATGACAAAGATGAGTAGAAATGTAACAACTGCAAATCAACTTGGTTGTGTCTTAAAACTCGATACAACCGTTTCAGTTTGATAACATGCTCCCTTCCTGGCACTGAGGTCTAGAAAACAAAATTAGATCAGATAGGATGTGAAGGGCTTCTAAGAAATTCAGCCGTAAGGGATAGGAGGGAGGGGAGAGGCTTCAAACCTGAAGCATCATGACCAAACTGAACCCCCACTGAAACATTTTAGCAATAGCAGCCTTACTCCTCCTTCCCTGGTTATTCCTTTCCAGAATGCAACAGGCTGTCCAGCTGGAGTTCCTGCAACAGCAGCCCTGACCTGGATAGCCCAGGCTAGCCCAATCCCACCAGATCTCAGAAGCTAAGCAGGGTCAGCCTTGGCTAGTATTTGGAAGGGTGACTTCCAAGGAATACCAGGGTCGTGACCAATGTTCCCTCTAAGCTGAGTTAGTGTGAGCCAGCTCACAGGTTTTAGCCTCCAGCTCTCATTTTTGTCTTAGCTCAGGAAGGAGGGCTCCAGAGCAAGCTAATTCATGCAGTAGCCAAATTGTTCACTCACAACTTTAATGCCAGCAGCTCACAAAGTAGAATTTTTGCTCACGAGACCCCACAGCTTAGAGGGGGCATTGGTTGTGATGAGAGGCAGGCAGTGGCAAACCACCTCTGAAACATCTCTTGCTCTAAAAACAAGCCTAGTTCACCACTTAGTGGTGCATAATGCTAAAACAGCTAGAACTTCTAGCTGCCAGACAATCTTGGGCTCTTTTTGGCTATTCTACACACAATGCCATATGGTTAGGGTTGCTAGGTCCCCCCTAGCCACCGGTGGGGGATGGGGGTTGTAGGGTTGCCAGGTCTGGGTTAGGAAACTCCTGGAGATTTGGGGATAGAGCCTGGGGGAGACAGGGACCTCTGTCGCATACAAGGCCATACAGTCCACCCTCCAAAGCATCCATTTTCTCCAGGGGAGCTGATCTCTGTAATCTGGAGATGACCTGTAATTCCAGGGGATCCCCAGGTACCACCTGGAGTCTGGCATACCTTTTTCAACAATAGTTTGTAGTACTCACCTTCCTTGTGCAGTGCAGGCATATCCACTAAAGTACTGATAGCGAGCATACAGGTAAATTAACCCACAGAACGCTGCCGATGCTACAAGAGAAGACAGTAGCCAAAATAGTTACCACGGGAAGCCTGTGAAATATTCCTCCTGCTTTTGAAGTGATAGCCCCACCCACCCCCTACACACACACACACACATACTGAGGAGAAGAGACTGAGGACTCTGTATGGGAAACATGTAAATTTATTTTGTTGCCATTTTAGCTAGGGACCACAACTAACAGCTCACACTCTTAACTACTTCATTACTGGACCGCACAAGAGAGGCAAAATGACTGCTGAACAAACAAAAGGTTGTATATTACACAGATACTGCTGCCCTCCTCTCACTAAAAAAACCCCATGCATAACTGTCCAAACAACTACATAGAAGCAGCAGCCAAGGCAACACCGGAGCAACTTTAACCTGAGGGGCGACAGCAGCTCTTTCAGTAGCCCCACTTCTGTGGTGAACACAGACATTTGCTTGAAAGCATCCTGTGTGACAAACTCCAGCAATACGAGCAAGTCATTTGTCTATGTGCGCCCGGCTGCCACAACCTCAGGGAATATGGGGGCAGTGGCAGCAGAATAATGTCTGACTAGCCACACTAATGGAACCTACAGATGACCCGTTTCTACCAGCAAAAAACCCACAAGGAACTTTTAAGGAGAGAGAGAGAAGAAGAGATTGGATTTATACCCCGCCCTTCACTTGGAGTCTCAGAGCGGCTTACAAACTCCTTTCCCTTCCCCTCCCCACAACAGACACCCTGTGAGGTGGGTGGGGCTGAGAGAGCTCTGACACAAACTGCTCTTTTTCAAGGACAGCTGTGCCAGAGCTTGTGACTGACCCAAGGTCACATCAGCAGCTGCAAGTGGAGGAGTGGGGAATCAAACCCGGTTCTCCCAGATTAGAGTCCGCGCACTTAACCACTACACCAAACTGGCTCTCACTGTCAAAAGTCGCTGTCCCAACCCCGGGTAAGGACTTCTGGTTACAAGGGGGGTGCGACAAAAAGTTACAAGAAGAAGAGGAGGAGATTGGATTTATCCCCCGCCCTTCACTTGGAGTCTCAGAGCGGCTTACAAACTCCTTTCCCTTCTCTCCCCACAACAGACACCCTGTGAGGTGGGTGGGGCTGAGAGAGCTCTGACACAAACTGCTCTTTTTCAAGGACAGCTGTGCCAGAGCTTGTGACTGACCCAAGGTCACATCAGCAGCTGCAAGTGGAGGAGTGGGGAATCAAACCCGGTTCTCCCAGATTAGAGTCCGTGCACTTACCCACTACACCAAACTGGCTACACCAAATACCGGAGAGAGACTAAATCTCACCCTAGTCTTGGTAGGTGCCACCAGTCCTTTCTATCTATCCCAACAACCCAGAAGGGAAAGGACAAGTCTCTCGGCTTCTCAGGGAACTAACAAGAAAAGTCAGCCCTGCAGAGTGGGACTGCAGACTTAAGTTTCCAAACACAAAACAGTTAGCTGGTAGGTGGTCAAAAGGCAAGGTTCTGGATAAAGGCTTTGAGGTCAATGAAGGCCTGACAGAATAAAAATATTTATTTAAGGTGCAAAAATATTTAACCAAGACCAGACAGTGAAGGAAATAAAACAATTAACCCTAAGCTTTCCCAGCATAGCTAAAACACAGAATCAAGGTTCCAGTTACCATTCAGGTTCATCACAGGCAGTTAGTTCTAGCAAGTCAAGATGGTCAAGGCTTTAGCCCTTCCAAGCAGCAATCAAGTGAGATGCCAAGCCTGGAGCTGTTCCACCACTGACATACTTCTGTGCCAAGTAGTCACCCAGCTGTGCACTGCTGTGCCATAATGCAAAAACTAGATTTATGGAGAGGGTCTCTGATTGACCTCAAGCCCGGTAGACCAATCAGACACCACCCAAGAGATGATGTAACTCTTTTTGGGTTGCTAGGCACGTGACATCCAAGGATGGACAAGAGGGGGAGAGAAACGAAACCGTACTGCAGATAGGTCACGCCCATTCCCACACAGGTGCCCGTAGCTTCAGTTGTTTGGAATGTGCTAACTGGAAGGCCCAGGGCACTTAGTCCTCCCTAGCACTTCAGCTGCAAACAATTAGGCTAGCAAGGTCACTGTGTTCTAACTGTCTCTGACGATCTCTGGGAAGATTTCTATAGGCCTCTCTGCAGCCTGAACCAAGGATTTTATTTCTCAGAGCAAAGCAAGGAACCATTTTTCTTTACACTCACATGGTTATGTTTTTGGTGCGTCTAGTACATTTTTATATACTTCCCCCGATTTGTCCGTACAGCAGTCCTGTGAGGTAGGCTAAGCTGTGAGTTACTACTCCAAGGTAACCCAGTGAGCTTCAAGCCAGTGTGAGAATTTGAAGATTATGTCAACATGGGGGGGGGGGAAATGTCTTACATAACTGCACCCCCAAATAAACACCCTGGATTAAGTTAAAGGTTTTTACTTGTTTACAGCTGTGCCAACAACGCAGGGCTAACATCAAGCAGGCCAAAATCCTACCCTTTTTCATATAAAGTTTATGGATTAGATTATGGATTTTACCTTGATGGAAAAAGATTCCAGCCACCCACAACAGAGAAAGAAATATTGGGAAGTATTCTGTGCAATTCACTCTAAACAAAATAAGAAGAAAGAGTAAGCACAAACAGTTACCATGTGAAGACCTACCTAGGCTTTGTAGAACATTCTTGAAAATCCACATGACCAGCTCATTTCAGATACAGCTTACATGAGAAGCAATGGGAAGAAATTCCGATGGGGCACTATTTTCCTACCTCCGTCTTGGACAGTGAACACAATGGAGAAAGGTAGGCTATGGAGTCTCCTGGGGCTCTGTATTAGGACTTTAAAAAAATCATCTGGAATTGATGAATGACCAGTGAAGTGCCAAAGTTGCAGATAACACTAAATTACTCAGAATTTGTGAAAAACTACGTTGATTGTGAAGAACTAAAGGATTTCTTCAGACTACGTGAGCAGTGACATACAAGGAAAGTAAATGCATAGTGAAACAAAAAGAAAATCCTTAACACATGTTGATGGGGTCCGACCTGCTGCTGGACTGACCAGGAAATAGATTTAGGGACTGTAGTGGACAGTGGACACCTGAATGAGAAAAGTCCATTCTTAACTGTGGTATTATTAGGGAAAGGACTGGAAACAGTGCCTTTGTATATATCTATGGTGTGTACGACGGAATACTGTGTACAGTCCTGGCTGCTGGATCTCAGAAAGAATATCCTAGGAGCAGAAGAAGATGGAAGAAAGGGCAACTAAAATCAATAAGGGGTTAGAGCACCATTCCTAAAGGATGATGGGAAGGGAGAGAGAAACACATAACAGAGCTATATAAAGAGGCCCGTAGCCAGGATTTTTGGGTTTGTGGGGCAGCCATTATGTATTGCTGCTTTTCAAAAAATAATGTTTTGTTCTTCACCCCAACCCCCCCATGAGTCGCTGCAGCAAAAAACCAACAACCCATCCCCCAACTCAAGATTGCTCCTATCCCCATGTGAATGGAGAAACGGGAGGGGGGAGTTGCTCCGGGTTTCAGAAGGAAGGGAGTCTCATTTTGCCAGCATTCACTCAAGAACTGATATATAGAACCTGTTCTCTGCAGAGTCAGACAACTGGTTGATGAACATAGAAAGCCTTTTCTTTTTCTCCCAATATACAGGAACTTTGATTAAACTGATGGGAAATAGTAATTAAATTGATGGTAGTAGATTCAGGATAGACAAAAGTATTTCACATATTTCCTTATAAAGCTCCGTGGGGAGGGGCAATTCACACTGGAGAAAGGAAGCACTCCATGAGAAAGTAGCAAACTCTACTGCACTTTTCCCCTGGACACTGAGATAAATGGAACATCTTGTACTGACCTTGGTGACCTTGTAGAAGAAATCAACACAATATAACACCTCTTATGAGTTGAGACAAAGGAGTGGATCTAAGGGAGGGACCATGGACCGTCCTGGCTTTCCTCTCCCCCAGCAGTCCTTTCTGACTTTTGGGGAAGTTTATGCTTGGGGGTGCAGTACCCATATGGAGTAAAAAGCCACATGCAAGTGAAGAGCAAAGCTGGCCTCTTCTTCCTTAAGAGCAGAATTTGTCTCTTAGAAGAAGTGATTTCATCCTTTTCCCTTTTGTCATTGCAGCCTCCCATATGTCTATTACTCCACTTTCCCAGAGTCAGGAAAAAGTCAGATAGATGAGCAACTGTAAGCACTGTCCACTGATGAATCACAGGATCAAGCCAAAGGCAGAGTGTGCCTGAACTGTGTCTTTATCCATGTCAACCTAAACAGAATTTGAAATCTATCAAGTTGTCCGAGGTTGATTTTCTGCTCTCTGTGTGTGTGTATATATACACTATGAATGTCTCTAACACAATTGCAAACAAAGATCAAGGATGGGAGAAAAGGTCCTATATCTTAGCTTCACATAGCTGGTTCAGCCTAACCCTATTAAATAAATGTTCATAGAGTTAAGTCCATTAGCTTCAACATAAACTTTTTCTAAGTCAGTGTACTTTAGAATACAGGCCATTAAAAAAAACCCAAAGAAGTTTAACTTACTGGGCTCTGAAGATTCTTTCAAATTCTGGAGGACCTGATATACCAGGAGGAGACACTTTGCACCTGCGCCGAGCATAGATCACCTGCATGGCAAAATAGGCTGGGGAGGGGGGAAGCCAACTATTTTAGTCTGGAAGGGTGCAGACCAGTGTTCCCTCTAAGCTGAGTTAGTGTGAGCTAGTTTTTAGCCTCCGGGTCAGACATTTTTGTCTGAGCTCAGGAAGGAGGGCTCCAGAGCAAACTAATTTACACAGTAGCCAAATCACTTGCTCACACTTTAAAGCCAGTAGCTCGCAAAGTAGAATTTTCGCTCACAAGGCTCCACAGCTTAGAGGGAGCATTGGTGCAGACAATGGAAAATAGCCAGCACTGTCACTGGGTCCCCCCCACCCCCATATCAGCAAACAATATTCAGATTTAGTATGCACAGTCAACAAAGAATCTGTTTCCATTTCACGCTTTTGCAGGCTGGCTGACCTTTACTCTCACCTTGTCGGAGATACAATTTCAGTCTCCCCATTCAATTGCTCCAAGCCTTGGGTTAATCTTAAAACAACAGCAGAAAATCCAAAGAGGATAGGAGAAGACCTACCCAGGTGACTATCATGAAGGGCTGCCAATGCAGCTCTACAGTGAGCAGCCAGGAGGGTTGGGGAAACCCGAAAGGAAAATGGCTGGATGCACTCAGGATGGAAAGTCTTTAAAAATTAACATCTACAACCCCCAGATCCAAAAAAGGGTATGCCAGAAATCCAGGTCTGTCTGGGGAAAAACCAGAGTCTTCTGACCAGAAGGCACTTCCTCTTGATGTAATGGGGGACACTGTGCTCAGAGGGGTACACAGACATACACTGTTGCTTGCTCAAGGACACACTCTTGTGCTCTTACTGAGTTCCAGGATTGTGTCCTGGCCTTGAAAATTAATGCTGGGCTGAGTCCTGCCACAAATTACCTCACCACTGTTCTCAAGATGTCCATACCTACAAGATTTAATACTTCAAATCAGGGATGCCAGCCCTCAGGTGGGACCTGGGGATCCCCTGGAATTACACCTCATCTCCAGCCCAGACTGCAGAGGTCAGTTCTCTTGAATAAAAGCGATGCTTTGGAGGGTGGACATGGCAGTGTGCCCCACTGAGGTCCCTGTCCTCCCCAAGCCCCACTCCCAAAATCTCCAGAGTTCCCCAGTCTGGAGCTGGCAACCCAACCCCCCAGCCCCTGCTGGTGGCCAAGGAAGACCTGGCAACCCTATGATACGTTCAAGCACTTTACAGACTAATAGGTACACTGCATGTGAGTTTTAGAACAGTGGCGACTTTTTCATGGAACAGATTTGCGTGGCTGCTCTTCAGGAATTTGTCTGGGAATGGCAAAGTTACCTGGGGGAGGAGCCCAAACATCATTTTAAACTTGAGGAGGTGGGAGCAGAAAGAAACAATATAAAGTTACATTCAGGCCTTACAAAGAATGCAACAACATTGCATTGTATGTGAATTATAAGCATCTACATACTGAAGTTGAAGAGTCTCACATCATGAAGGGCCTTGAGTTAAATCTGGGAGTCTCTGACCCTCCAATCTGTGGAGTCGGCCACTGCCTAATTGCATTGCTCGTTGTATGCTTCCATTTCTGTTGCACCCTTCTTATTAGGTAATATGCCTCGAGAATCAGCAAGAAAGGTGAACTATAAATTAAATGAAATGGTGAGCTCCCGTCTCTAGTTCCAGCTCCTGTCAACCTAGCAGTTTGAAAGCAAGAAATTGCAAGTAGATAAATAGGTACCACTTCAGTGGGAAGGTAACAGTGTTCCTTGCGCCTTGGTGTTTAGTCATGCTGGCCACATGACCAACGTCTTCAGACAGCGCTGGCTCTTCGGCTTTGAAACGGAGATGAGCACCGCAACCCTAGAGTCGGATTCGACTGGCTTTCGAGCAAGGGAACCTTTACCTTTACTATTCCTGCTTGCAGCAGTCTTTTCACCTGCCCTGTGCCCTCTGCTTTGTTCCCATGCAGCAAAGAGTTGGCAGTGCAAAGCTATACATGTTATCTCACCTTATTTCCCCTCCCTTTCTCTGCCATTCAGACTCCTTTTTCTCCCTTCACGTCCTTCTGTCTCCTCCTTAGCATATGGCTTCTCCATTTCCTTCAACACCTGGGCTTACTACGTCATCTCCTGATTTTGCCTCATTCCACATCTCTTACCATCCTACTACAAGCCCCCCTCACCCTTTTCTTCTCTGAGGTCTCTCTCTCCTCCTCTCTCCTTTTCAGTGTCTCACTCTAGCTTCAGTAGCTCCCCATCCTTTTGCATAATCGACTATCCATCTTCTTTCCCAAATTCTTCAAGCATGCTTCGGAATGTAATGGTTCTACCAAGCTCCAGGGCTTTTGAAGACAACTCAGGATTTGCACTCAGACGTTTTCCACAAGGCCTCCCATACTTAAGCTGACATTTAGAACACAGAGACAAGCACATTCACCAGAAATGTTGCCACTCAGTGTTTTACAAGGTAGAGATAAGCAAGGCATCCAGGGCATCCTGTTTTGAAAATTTTGCTTTTTCTTTTTTGGAGCATATCCTGACCTGACCCATGCTAATTAGGCTGGGCAGAGAAAGCCTCTTCCCACTCCACATCCCAGAACTGTTGCATAGGTTATAAAGTGGTCCTGCAAGTACACACAGATGGCTTTTCTGTCTGTTTTTACTTTGTTGACATTTTCAATAACTCTTATTCTAACACTGTTTCAGTGATATGCTGGTCTTGGAGCAAAGAAAACACGCACATATGTTTTTATGCAAGCAGTGTGACATGGGAACCATGAACCCATGCAAGACTGCAGTCCTGCCCCATTGTCTTGGAAAAAAATAACAACAACTTGATACCCCCCCATGACAGGGAGCTCTAAGCACTTTGGAGTCTGCTGACCTCATGTCACCATGCTTCTGTCAAACACAAGCCAGTACACAGCATACAATGAGAACTCAGAGATATACATTAATACTAAATAAATACACTGTTTTAATTAATTGATTAAGTTATCAATTAGGATTCTTTTACTCTTCTAGTGTCCTGGCCCCACTGGTGGACCTCCTGATGGCACCTGGTATTTCTGGCCACTGTGTTGACAAGAGTGTTGGACTGGGTGGGCCATTGGCCTGATCCAACATTGGCCTCTCTTATGTTCTTCATATTCTTCCAGGAAGTCAATACATGCTCCAAATAGAAATGTTTGGTAACAGATTTAGAATAGGACAGAAACCTTTTAGTCTCACATCTGTAGTCTCAGATTTTTTGCTAATACTGTTCATTCATCACATAATATGAAAAAGGTGCCTTAAATACTTTTTTTGGTGGGGGGGTGCACCTTAAGCCTTTGCAACATACAGCACTACCAGGGTGCAATTGGGTTGCTCTGTGCACTTTAGTGTCACTATTGTTTGTAAAAAAAAAACTTGCTTGAGCTAAAGAATATAGACTCTCTCCCCCTCCCAGTTTAAACAATACAATGACACACATAATTACTAAAGGTTTTCCACTGGGGTTAGAATTACACAACAAAATGCTCTTTTTTGGTACACTTACCCTGACCCAATTCTAATTTTGTTTCTTTATTCAATGGTTACCATTAAGCAAACAAACATAGTATTACTATTGCCCCCCACGTGCAAGCTCAGTTGTAAGATTCTATTACATTCTCAGCCTCTATAATAACTACAAGGACTCAAATAGATTTTAGACTTTAGCCATATAAATGGACTGTGAGGCCATTACAAAGCCTTCTGTATCTTTTATTCCCTACAGCTCAAGCGACTTTTTATTTCCAACATAGTTGACCTACATGATTCTACTTAGTTTACTGTGGCTATCATAGACAGTATTTTTTTTTCTCCATAAACGTGGCAACATTGTCCTTACCTTGTTCCAACACTCCCAAAATGGTAACAGCAGCCAGCCAAACTATCTGATGCAACATACTGGTTCTTAGAAGCTAGAGGATAAAAGCAAGGAAGCTACAAAGCTCAATGGACTTTTGACACTGTGAGTTTTCTCCCCCTAATATACATACCCAAAGCTGCTCTCATAGTACATCAGACCACACAGTCATTGTTTCCTCTTCCAAAAGGCTGGCTGGTTAACTCTCTGCTTGCTGGATTGTTGTGGATAGATCACAGCTATGTAAGTGTGACTGGCCCAGTTTTGTGAACTTCCTGCATCTACTGACCCGCTGCTTTTAATGTGCATAAAAGAACATATTTGTGTTCTAAAAACACATGCAGCACCATTAAACAGCATAGAAAAGTGCTGGTTTCCCAACGCAATGGAAGAAGGTGGCTTAGATGTGGGGGGGAGTGGGAATTGCTGTAAAGCAGAAGTTTCCACAGCCCTCACTCGTGGGGGGGTTTTCCCTTTCCAGCTGCAATAGTTAAACCTCACAAAATATTTGTAAATTCTTCTGAACCAAACCTATCTCCATAAAACCTTGGGGAAAATGTTTTATTGTTGTCACAAGCAGCTATTACAATACTATCCTCTTCCACTGGAAAGTGTCAGGATGGCAGCAATATGGTAAACTACTAACAATTCTTATTAGAACTCCTGAAAGGCTCCCCGAGGATCTGTGGGCAAGCCCCTCCCCTCCGGGATCAAATTCTGTTGTTCGACCCTGCTTCCAGAGGAGAGGAGATTACCCATTGGTGAGGACTGCCCCACTACCAGAGCCCCCGGAGAATAGTAAATGTTAGCAAAGGATCACAGGCACACCCACACAAACCCCCACCAATGAGGGGTTGTTACTGCATTAACCATGATGTAAAGAACAACAAACCAATGTTTTAATCAAATCGGCTGTGCAAACTGGTCCTAGACACATTTACTTAGGACTTTCCCAGAATTTAATGATAGAATTGCAGTTGAAGAGTTGTGTGCAAAGAGCAGTGAGGGTAGAAAAGGTATTTTGTATTACCTTTTCAATACTGACCAGCCAGAATCATGATGCAAGGCTGCTACAGTGTTCCCAGTAATTTCAGGAAGTATTTTCAGGGTTCCATGGTGCTTTCAGAGCTAAAACTGCAGTCCTGATGTTACGTGACAGTGGTGAAGATTTATATTAGTTAGACTACAGATAAAAAAATCTGAAAAAGCTTATTGTACTGATGCAAAACAAGATTCTAGAGCCTGAAACAAGAAACAACAGATAAATGATACTTACTGTGCAATACAGCTCCCTGCTATCACTCTGTGGTCTCTCTATTCATCATACAAGAACCAATAGCAAACAGATTTCATTTCCTTGGGAGGCAGCAGTGAAAAATGGCATATGAAAATGACTATAAGCAACTGCCCACACATTTGTGTAGTGAGCCAATAACCATAACCCACTCATTTGAAAGTAAAGACATACACAGAACACTTTTCAGGTGCACAGATAAAACATTTTAAGTCTTAATTTAAAAATATAAAGTGGGACAAATTCACATAGTTTACCACCCGTGTTTGCTTTTGTGTAATCACGTGTGAAATAGCCCTTAAAGAAAAACACACCAAACAGCTATTCCATATTCAGAAGCAACAGGGGTCACCTATCCCACAGGAGCGGGGGGGGGGGGGGGGGATTCTGGACTGCAGCAGGAAGGGGAAGATGGAGTTGAGCTACACTGGCATACATTTTTCCATTGATGAGACTGAAACCACGCTGTTTTCCAGAATATCATTTATACAGTAGATTTTGATAAGGTATGCACATAAATCCAACCGGTGGATTCTCCAACCCTGGGATTCAATACAGCTAAAACTGGTAGTCTATGTAATTCTATTTGAAATTCTATTATTTAGCCGCTTATCCAGAAGAAGAGACACTGAAATGTCTATATACTTTAAAACATCTATAGACCTAGGAAAGGTGCTGTTTGGTTACAGATTTTTCACTGGTCATCCTCTGCCTAATTTATGACTGCAGGAGGTCTCTGGACACTTTTATTGCATTTAAGCAAGGAGAATCCACCAGTTGGATTTATGTGCATACCTTATTATCAGTGCCTGTGAGAGTAAACTGTTATGTTCATTTGTATCTCAATGTTGATGTATGATACGCCATGAGCACATTTGATTACATTTGGGAACATTGCATTTGCTGTGGGTTGTGGACCACCAACTCATTATTGATGTTTATTTGCAATTTAAACACTTACTTAATATATCCTATATTCAGACATTTCAAGTGCATTTAATCTTTTATGGTCTTCCCTTGGTGTTTTTCTGTTTTCTACTATCATACGCTAGGGATCCCTGTTTTGTCTACTTAGTAAAAATAAGGCATATTAAGGAATACATTCTTCAAGGACTATGCTGCTTCAATACAGACTAGGAGGGGGAGACTTCCTGTCACTTTGGCTCCTGCAGTGATTAGACTTACTAAAATTATAATGAGAATATCAAGAATGCTAACAGTTTATAACACCAAATATGTTTCAGAATTAAATTTTTAATACCAACAAAAACTAATGCTAGAGTCTCTCCCACCACATTAAATGTGAAGCATTAGTCAAAGTTTTTTTACACCTATTGAGGGAGCAAAAAAGGTAAAGGTAAAGGTTCCCTTGCTCGAAAGCCAGTCGAATCCGACTCTAGGGTTGCGGTGCTCATCTCTGTTTCAAAGCCGAAGAGCCAGCACTGAAAGACGTTTCTGTGGTCATGTGGCCGGCATGACTAAACACCAAGGTGCACGGAACGCTGTTACCTTCCCACTGAAGTGGTACCTATTGATCTACTTGCAATTTCTTGCTTTCAAACTGCTAGGTTGGCAGGAGCTGGAACTAGAGACGGGAGCTCACTCCGTCATGCAGCAACTCAGGTCTCAAACTGCTGAACAACCGACCTTCCACAGCCTGCAGTTCAGCGTCTTAACCACTTGAGGCACCGCAGCTCCTGAGGGAGCAAAAGGCAGCTTCAAACAAATGCTCTGCTCCTGACTCCAAGAATAGATCAGTTCTAGGTCAGGCTGAGAATGCAAGGAAGAGACATGTTAACTTTGTTTTCTCTCCTGAAAGTGGGAACAGAATTTAAAGGGCTAGCCTTACAGCAAAAGATAATTCAGAACTTTGTGCTCAGCTCAGAAATCCACAACCATTTGTTTAATACACTAGCAAAATATTTATTTTTTATAATGACAAAACAGAAGTGAAAGATTTCTTTTTGGTGTGCCACAGTATTTGTAGTTAAAGAAAAGGGGAATTAATGGGCTCTTTATACATTTTAATGACAAAAATGTTAGCATCAAATTGGAACTGCTCACCATTTAAACAAAAGAAAAACTTACAGTAATCACCCCCAACACACACACACACACACACACACACATATATAAAGAATTATAGTTTTAAAATACATAAAAAAGTAAAAAATATACACTCAGAAGATCTAACTCTTATTCAATCTTTAATATAAAAATTGTAAACATTTATTTACACAAAGAAAATGTGTAGAATAGAAAACCAAGCACCCTTTTCAATTGTGTAGTGGGTTTTTGGAAGGCAGTGGATGTTGAACAGTGTCATTCTCACCCCCTTTCACCTGTCCATAACCACAGTCTATAAATAAAGTCGAGGCAGTTGGCTAGGTAAAACTCAGAGGAGCCACATCTTATTGCTCTGAAGCTGCAGCAAATGGAAACCCAAGTGCATATATTCTTTTATGAACTGCTACAAGGGACTGAAGGGCAGGGCTCAGAACTTCTCCACTGAGCCTCCATACTTTATGAGCACTGCACAGCACCTGAATATTTTTCTGCCAAAGCCACCTTTTAAAGATTGGGACAATTTTGCTTGGGACAGACATCGAATTGCCATTGTGTGGGTTATAATTTAAAAGTTTGTAAATCTTCATTTAAACGGATTTAACACATGCCACTCTAAGAATATTCTAAGCTAGTTTGTTTAAAATTACATTTGAATAGACGTTACATTGCATGTGGTAACAGTTGATAAGTCCTGTGTACCAGAATAAAGATCGGGGAAGAGAGATATCCCATCAACATTTTACTTTTACTTTGTTGCAAGAACGTTAAATTGGCTACAAAAATCTGACTATAGAATCAGACACGTTAAGGGGTGGCATTTAAAAAATCTTAAATTCCAATTCACAAATCCAACTACTAACCTAAAGTATTTAAATTTCATCAAAACTGCCATTCTTCAGTGTTCCTAAGAGAGAAATCAGCAGAACCCAGACAATAGTTAAGAAATATGAGGTCCCAAGCACCTCCAATAAGGAAAGAAGGCACACTGGTGCAAAATTCCCCAAATATTTACAGAACAAGTACTATCACCTCCCCTCTCCCTGGCCCAAAAAGCAGCTACAGAGATCAACAGGAGATTTTCCTGATGACATTTGTCTTAGGCCATTTCTTTGATTAAACCAAACTCACAAATAATTTTGCTCAACTGCTGACTTGCAGAAAAGATTAGTAAATTGAATCCTAATCTAATTTACTTACAATATCAGTGACATCAAAGTTTTATTAATTAAATTAACCCCCTAGAAATCAAAGTTTTTTAAAAAATCATACTAGCAATGCAATTGGCTTAAATTTGGACATTCAGCAATGGAACCACTCAATACGCAACTTTCACCATTTATCCCTATAAACAGTCCATCATGATATAATACAAAATTTTGTTTAGCACAGCATACATAACTTGCTCATGGCTGGCAAGCATATATAACAAAAGTAATATCCATAAGTAATTCCGGAAAAGATTAAATAAAGAGTAGTGTTAAAGCAGATTTATTTTTCCAAAGTGCACATTTCAGAAAAACACTGCAGATACAGTAAAACATATCCTTCCTGTTATTTAACTGTTTTCCCTTGTTCCCCACCCTAAAATATATCCCTCTCAAATCTCCAAACTTGCCTTGTGTAAATATACTCCTGGTTTTCAGAAGGAAATTATTAGATTTTCAGTTAAAGGTATTATGAAATAATTAAGAATCCTTACAATAGGAGGTAAAATGGAACAGGGACCAGAGAGGTATCTTTGCATCTAAAACAACTTTCAAATTTATTACCTTTATAAACTAAAGGTTAAGGCAAAAGGTGGCTTGTTGGCAAGCAGAAATATTTTTGGTAACATGTTAAAAACAATTCTCTCCTTTGCTTGCCAAGCATGGAATGGACCCTAAACATCCATGAGAGGGTCTCCACGGACCATGATGAAATAGCAGCATCTGCTTCACTGGAGATTAGTCTACATATTTATAAGGAGATCAAACTACAGAACAAACATTTTCAAAGGGTGTGTGTGTGTGTGTGTGTGTGTGTGTGTGTGTGTGTGAAGAGGACTTTCACAATGGGACAACTTTTAATAAAGTATTACGCCTTTTTACCCCCACCCCCTCATTCCTCATGCCATTATTGCAAAATTGTTAATGTTACTAATGACTTCCAAGGCACAAAAGCTTCCTTCACATGCTTCACCAAAAATAACAGATTCTGTGCTTATTGGTACAGCATGTGCGTGGCAACAAAAATTTATAAATTTAAATGCCCTCTGAATCAAAGAGGAAAAATCAATCCAACTCACTCATTTAAAGACAATGAATGCTGGAAAGAATATAGGAAAAGTGCACACACCTGATTTTAAGTCAGACTCTTAAAAAAAAAAAACTTCTAAAAACCAGCCTTCCTCCACAGCAGAGTGCAAATTGCTTAGCTTAAGCCCATTAAGACTTGGGGTCCCCAGTTTACATCCTTACAAATCTCTCCTTGGCCATGTTAACACCAGACAATCTCCAGCATATAAACTCATTAGATTCTGAAATCTCCCAACCTGCTTGATGAGAAATACATATTACTGATGAACAGAAGATCACCCTAACGAACTAGAGTGGATCCTGCAAAGGAAGAAACATTGAACACTCTCTCTTCAAAAAAATGCAGGCAGGGTGCTAATTGCAATAACTAAGAGGCCAGGCTAGGATGAAGATGCTATTAAGTACTAACTGCAGGAAAGATTGCCTTAACACTGAATATTTGGAGTCTCCTTACTCTCTGCACCACCACTGCACAAGTTTGCATTTACTCTTCAATGCCAAACACTGTAAAAGTGAAATTTAGGAAGGTCGAATGCATAACAAACTGACCTGGACTTTTGTTTTGCACAGTGTTCCAAACACACTACAAAAATGACTATGCTATTCCTATCATATTGGTGTATAATTCTCATGTCTTAAACCCAGAAGGGAGCAGCTCTAATACATTCCCACTAGTGCCCTGTGAATCTTCTAAATGCCACAGGTATTTGGTCCAAGTATAATATGCGATAAAATCCAGAAAATCCCCCAAATGTAATTTTAATGATTCCCTAACAATTCATCCAGGTCATTCATCCACTCTTCCGAAGTCCTGTTTTTCAACAAAGTGTCTATGAGATCTGTATCCCCAGTTAAGCTCTGTAGTCCATTATTGCCTGATTGGTTGCTATAGGCAAAAGGTAGTTCCTGACCAGTTGTCCTCACTGGGTAACCCTGATTACAGTGCAGATTGGCTCTGTTGGGCAGCTGCTGACTTTGATTCTGGCTGAACGCAGTCAGATCTTGGACAGCTTGACTCATGCCTGGCAAAATCTGTTGTGATGGTACTGGTTGCTGGGAAGGAGGGTTTGTCCTTTGTTGAGCACCCATAGATGGCAGCATCTGTCCAGACACAGCCGTGTTCATAGAGGCCATTGGCCTGCTGGTGTTTAGACTTACCTGAGGCATCCCTTGTGCAAACTGTTGGTTGGTCATCTTTAGGTGAGACTGCTGCATATGGAAAGTAGAACTCGCTGTAAATGCCCCTAAGCCATTATTCCCTTGTGCCTGGTTGTTCATGTTTGACATTCCTTGGTGCTGCCATGATGGATTTTGAGCCCCAATGGCTGTTGGCATTCTTGCCATCTGTGGCTTAGATAATGTTGGATTCAGCACCCCTTTACTGTGCTGCTGAGAAATGCCTGCATTTCCTAGGGAGCCCTGTCCATAACCAGCAGGAAGAGCCGTGCCCTGGGCCAAATTGGGTTGTCTTTGCATCTGTGGCTGTCCACTGGCACTCGAAGTTGCATGCTGTTGAACCATCTGTGTTATACCAGATGTCATGCTGTATAAACCACTACGCTGAATGTTCTGCATTCCAGTATACTGAGTCACACCTTGATCCTGCTGACCAGAGCTTGATGCGACAGAATTGTGTCCCGTTCCAATCTGAATCATGTTCTGAGTCTGAGAAAACAAGCGTGGACTGCTGGAGTTGGACTGACCTAAATTATTCACCCCTGCCATAGCTGGCGATGAGCCTGTAATGCAAAGTTGAGATTTTTAACACTTGTTAGAAGAACGAACACAAACCTTATTCAGATGCAATGTTACCTGCAAAATATAGCTAAATTTAGACCTCAAAACACAGATGGAAACATTCTGTCTTTTCAGCTTCATCTCTACAATCTGCTTCATGGTACTTCACAAGCTTGCAGAAACTGTTACAAACAGAATTCAATATACCACCGAAGAATCTAAAAACCCAAATTCCAGAACACTGAAAACACATTGAGGCAGAAACAGAAATTCTTGATCTGGACTTATGTACAAATGATAAGCTAGTACACTGATACTTAGCTGTATGTGCTGCAGTCTATGCCAATGGCTTTAACGTTTCTCATCTGGGTCATTTCACATTTCTAGGGTAAACAACTGACATTTCATGACTAGCAAGCAATGAGCTCAAGACGGTTAAGTGAACTGGACAATATGGTACAAAGACAGAATCAAGTTGGCCACCTATACACATTGCTACGTCTGCTACAAAAACACCTGAGGTGGGATTTGTACATGCTTGACAGATATAGGATTGTATCCTACAGACATTCTGCTGGCAGAGGCAGATCCTTCCTCCCCTTCCACTCCTCTCAGCAGCCTCCTGTGACCCCAACCAAAAGCATCACTAGGGACTGGAGGAATCCTTGCAGACAAAAAGGCATGCAGGTGGGGGGTTACAAAATTGCCTCTCATCCCTCTAAATGCATAGATGGGGGCAGAATGCCCATACAATATGATACAAAGGTTTATTTCACAGCATGAAACATACTTTTGGCCATAAAGTAAAGTATTATTGACAAGTAGGCTGCATTTGGATACAGCTCCAATAATTTCCATGATCGTGCCAGCAATTTTCTCCCCAGTCATTGCCATCATGTGAACTGTTGTAGCTTTGTTCATGTATAACCTGTTTTACACTTCTTTCTCCACAACCATGCGCCCAATCTCAGGCTGGGACCATTCTCATGGAAAAGAAAGCATCTGCTTAAACCAGCCCAAAGCTCTTAGGTTGTGGACTTTCTACTACAGCAATTTATGTGCTACTTAACCTACACAAAAAGTGGGTAGGGACCGGAATACTCCTGGGAAAAGATGCTAAAGGACACTGAAAGACAACAAAGTTTACCCTATCACTACTACCAAAGCACCTCTTGTACTGTCAGGGTAAAGATGCAAAACCTCAAGGTAACTGCACCTTGTTCCTTTATTTACCAGAGCACGCCTCTAGTGCTATTAATGAAGTATTTTAACTGGAGAGGCAGGTCTACAAAATAGGCAGAACCATACACATCTTTGTGTATTGCCACTCAGTAAGAAAAGAGAGTGAATACTCATTCCTCAAGAGGGTTAATTCAGACAAACCATTCATGTGGAAGCGTCTATCCTCATTTGTAACTGCTGCTTGCATGTACTGGAAAAGCCAGGTTAGATATTTGTTACAAATTCCCAGCAAATAGGCACTAAATGGAACTTGCAAACAACATATGAAAAATATGTAAATTGAAAAGCTCCCAGTGTGAAAGAACCAAGTCATTTAAACCCAGTACTGATTATTTGTTTGTTTGATTTCTATACCACCCTCCCCGCAGACGTGCTCAGGGCAGTTTACAACAATCTCAGTTCAATATCATTAAAACAACAATTAAACAATAGTTAAAACAGTAAAACCATAAAATATCATGATACTGGGTCCTGCCTAAATTAGTGTTTTTGACTAATTCAGGTGGAAGATGGCCAAATTGCAACAGTTTGGTGTAGTGGTTAAGTGTGTGGACTCTAATCTGGGAGAACCGGGTTTGATTCCCCACTCCTCCACTTGCACCTGCTGATGTGACCTTGGGTCAGTCACAAGCTCTGGCACAGCTGTCCTTGAAAAAGAGCAGTTTGTGTCAGAGTTCTCTCAGCCCCACCCACCTCACAGGGTGTCTGTTGTGGGGAGGGGAAGGGAAAGGAGTTTGTAAGCCGCTCTGAGACTCCAAGTGAAGGGCAGGGTATAAATCCAATCTCTTCTCTTCTTCTTCTTCTTCAACAAGTAAAGGAGAGAATTAGCTTTTGTTTCACTCTAGCTGTGCTTGTAAGAATATTACTAGTGTTCAGGAAAAAAACCAGTCAAAATTCATGCAGACTGGAGAAAGAAACTCTTCCTCTGCGGCTTCTGAAGAAGCAGCTTTAACAAGGAAAGGAAAACAACTAACTAAATGAACCAAATCCAGACAACTTCATGCAAAACAATACCATCACCACATTTACCTGTGAACTGCCCAACCTGCTGTTGGTAAGGATTCTGTGTCTGGTCTTGATATTGAGGCGGTGGCCGAGTCAGATGCCTCTGGAGCTGCTGCTCTCGATGCCTTTGCTTCTCCTAAGACAAAGCATATACATCAACACCATGCTCACCTTGGCTTTAAAAGCATCACACTCATTCTAAAAGACAAAATATTTCATAGGAGGTTTTTTTCATTACGCCCTCAAATTTCCAAACCTTGTATCTTTATTGTGTCTAGGAACGCAACTCTACACATCATGCTTGGAAGGAGCATGGGGGGAAAAAGAAATTCTTATCTGGCAAATTTATTTTCTTCTCTTAGATGCAAGAGTTCATTCAGCAATGTGTTATGGGACTGTAAGGCAGAGCAGATCTGATTTGCCTGGGAGAAGCAATCCCAGACAGGACATTATAATAAACAAAGTAGTACAAGAACAGTGATTTTTTTAAAAATAGAATGAATTTCCAGCTGAAAACTCAAGCCCTCCCCCACAACAAAAGGAGAAAAAAACCACCCACACTGCAGGCCAAAGATCAAAAGTCCTCAAAGGTAATGATACTCAAGTATTGGAGAATTCATGAAACATTCCAGGGCTGGTAGAATGAACTATTTTTTAAAACATTTTTATTGTAAGTATTAAAAATACATCAATAACATTAAGTGGAACAATGTTTACAACAATATAAATATATAGTTCTACATTTGTCAACTATAACAGTATTGATTATCAAACATATAAAATATAGATTTCTTACTAATATCTTTTTATATATAAAGTTTGTATTAGTTTTAGCAAGGATAGAAAACTACAGAAAAAGGATATATAACAGAAAAGCAACTAACAACAAACAATGGAGCATATACTCTTGTTTCAGTTTCAGTTTAACACTTTAAAATCGAATCAAGTTCTTATACACCTGTCTCAATTGAGCATTTAATCTTATAACAGTTCTTTTACTATTTTATTTATAGTTACTTTGGTAGTTTTCCAAGTTAACTTTCAATCCATTTATAAAATCTCGCCCAGTTTCTTTCAAAGATTTCTTCTTCTTTTTCTTGTCATTGTAAAGTCAATTTATCCATTTCTGCTGCTTCCAAAAGTGTGTAGATTATTTCTTCTTTTGTTGGCTATATTTCTTATTAATATCTAATAAGTACATTATATAATATTTCCAGAACTTCACCTTGTGTTTTCAAATATTCTATAATGGGAAGCTATACTGAAGAGATAGTTCTATCATTATTTAATGATTATGACCTTATTGATTGATTATTTTTTTCCATTATCCTTATACATAATTGCAATTTAGTCTGGCAACATCCTATGCGGCACCAAAATGAGTTGGCTGAATGATCTGTCACTCAGAACGTGTCCCTAGCCACTGGCTGCGTTGCCTGAGTCCCGCCCAGCCGCCACTCAAGAGTACTCGCATGCCATTGGCTGAGTGCTGGGTTAGCTCCTTTTCCCTACCCACTCCTTCAGCCTCTGGGCCCTCTCAGAATTTCTTGGCAGACTGCTTTCTCGCTTGACGAAGACAGTAGCCTCCTGTGTGAGACTAACTTTTTCCCTCAGTAGCTGTTGGTAGGTGTAACAAAATGGCAGTTATCTGTATCTGTGAGATGGCTGCCGTCTCTGTGTTTAAAATGTTCCCCCAGAAGGCTTAATTGAGCTGTAGTTCCAGAGAGGAGCCTTTCTCATCTGCTGGCCTACACTTCTGAGCTGCACCAAAAAGTGCGGGAAAAGAGGGACCTTGGGATGGGGCAGCATCAATATAGACTCCAGCTAGGCCACAAACCAGAGACGTGGGGGAACCCTGGAAGGCAACAGAAATTCAGCCACTCCACAGTCAGCTGGACTGGGGAGTGAATGGAAGTTTCCCTGCTCTCTTGGACAAGAGAGAGAGAGGCTGAAGCAGAGCCAGTCCAAGGAGAGATCCTGTCCTGAGCCCACAAACTCCAGAGCTAGAGTGTTGTGTGTAGGGATAGATCATTGCGTTTAACTCCTGTTGATTTATGCCCTTACTCCTACAGTTGTGCCTTATTTATTTAGTGTGTGTGTGCTCCATAATTGTGTAAATAGTTAAATAAATTCTTTAATTTGGGCTAATAATTTGTGTTGTCTTCTGACCACATAGTCTTCCCTGCTCTGCACAATACCAAAGGGAGGGGTAGCCCATGGAAGCAAGGAAAGGCCAGACCCTTGGGTTGCCAACTTTCCAGGGATCCCCCAAAGATTGGGGATTCCATCTCCAAATACGGAGATTTGGCCAGAGGGGTCTCACTGTCCCGCTAAAAAGGCAGGGACAATTCAGTGTGTCGTGGCAGCGAATTTAAGGAGTGAGATATGCGCACGGGATGAGGGTGGGAGGCAAACAGCTGAGTGGTAAACTGGAGCCCGTTTCACCACAGTAGGCAACCAAGCTTGGCTCAGACAAAGGAAGGAAACCCTTTGCAGGCCTTTGTGAGGAACTCATTCGGGCCAGTCCTGAGTCTAGGGTTGCCAGCTCCAGATAGGGAGATTTCTGGAGATTTTCTGGAAGAGTCCGTGGAAGCCAGGGTTTGGGGAGGGGAGAGGCCTCAGCTGAACAGAATGCCATACAGCCCACCTTCCAAAGCAGTTATTTTCTCCGGGGGGGGGGGCG